AAAAAAAGAAACAGTTTACAACATGAGGAGCAAATGGAAATGTTGAAAAATAACTAAACCATCAGAGAGTTTTGCATCTCCAGACCAGCTGCAAGTGGAAGCTTGTCAGAGTGTCAAGCTTATTGTTATTTTTCTGGCGACAAGCAACAAGTTGAAGAAATGATAAATGAATGAAAACAGCGAGAGAAGGTCAACCGCGAGAAATGCAGCGGCGCTTCAAAAGTTTAACCCTTTATTTCTCGTCTTGGGCTCTGTTAAAATAACCGGCAGGTTCGCATGTCCCCTTGGACCTTTCAGGCAGCTCTACTGTTTGTTTTCCACTCCAACGTGGGGACAGATTTGGACAAGGGCGACTGCAGAGTCTATTTTCTCCACCTGGAAGCTTGGAACGGTGGGGAGGGAAACTCAAGACTGGTTTTACCCGCTTCCTGGAAACGGTAAAGCAAGCGGGAGGCCCCGCTGTCAGGGAAAGGGGTAGCGAAAGAGAGGGAGAGAGAAACTCTGTGACAGTGTGCACAGAGAGAGCGACTAATGCCTCTGTCCAGCAGATAAGAAATATGTGTGAATGCATGAGTGGGCGTGTTTATTTGCCTGCCTGCCTTGTATGTGTTTGTGTGTATGTGAAATAGAAAATTACAGAATGGTAAAGAGCACACGCTCCAGCCAGGGGATTTGCTGATGCCCACGAAGATCTGTTTACAGTAAGTGACCCTGATGACCCCCCCCAGAGGATACAGGGCTCAGTTCCAGCACACATACATATACGCACACATCATCCCAGCCTCGCATCTCACCAGACTCTGATACAAAGTGTCGAAGGCCACCTGTTAGAAACATCCGGAAGTCTCAATTCCAGACAAAGCATGCACACCTATCGTGGCACTAAAAACACAGCCTGGAGTGAGGTGTTGTGTGGATGTGTGATAGAGGGGAAAAGAGCGAGAAATGTTCCTTGTATCCAGCAGGCGACTAAAGCCCTGCACAGACCAATTTGCAGCTGAATGAAAATGGGAAGCCGTGCATGAGGAGAGAAAACACGCAAAACACATTTAAACGGTATTGGAGGCCATTGAGGAGCACGGGGAATTTTAAAAAGCTTATTCTAGAGACTGAAGGAACAAACACTGGAGAAAACGGTGGAAAAGGGGAATGGACGGAAGAGACACATACCTGAGCAAAGGCACAAAGACAGACAACTAAGGATTCAAATGTTAAATAAAGAAAGAGTCCGGGAGGTTGGGGGGGGGGTGTAAAGAACTCAATGCAAAAACAAAAAAACATTGTGAACAACTGCTGCTCTGTTTAAGGAAAAACTTGGGGAGATATGCCAATTTGCTTTACTGCCATGGAACAAACGGTAGCTTTGATGCTACTGACGTCTTTAAACCCAATAAGAAGCTTCAACCATGAGATGATGAGCACTTAGATCTAGTCTCATTTTCACAGTGAGGTTTCAGGGAAACTGGTGAAATTTAACTGCACCACAGCCAAGAATATGTTACTTTCGGACAAGTTGTTTCAGGTCTTTAAAGGGGACCTACTATGCTTCAGCACCATATTCATATTCTTGGACTCTTCTAGAGTAGTTTTGCATGATTTACTGGGCCTCAGTGCAGCTCCAAAGTGTACACACTGTCTAAAACAAGACATTTTAGCTCCACTCCCCCTTCCCCTCTAAGTCAGCATTCTTATCATTGGCTGCCCCTCGGAAACACAAGGTTGAACTGCAGGTGAATGGAGCTCTGTACACAGTAAGAGGTGTGTTCCTGATATATTTAGTTTATCCCATCCCACTCAAAAAAACTGTCCAAAAAGGAGTGTTTAGAGCAGTCTGAAGCCTAAGCTTTTGGCTCATGGCAATTACCTGTACATACTCCAACCTCAATATTTAAAACTTTGGCCATATTTAATAAGAGCACCACCATTATATCAATATATACAGAGGTGTAGCTGAGCTAATTGGCTGCAACCTGTTTCTTTATATTTACCCTACAGGTGTAGCTGTAGGGGCCAATTAGCATATCTCCTAAACTATTACTTTAAATCTCCATTTTCCACCTCCACTTCCTCTCTGCTCTAGACTTCTCAGCCCCGCTGTGCTTTTCAGGTTTGCATATGACGGCCAGGTTTTAAGCCTGTCTGTTACATTTCAGTGGCAGATCCACTTGACACACACAGACGTGCGTGCATGCCCGCTGACTCACTAACCTGCTCGTCTGTCAAAGCGATTGTCAAATGATCAATGCTGTGTGCCAACCACGGCTGCGCTAATGCACAATAATATGGCTTTTATAAAAGCTGCAGTTGGCTGCATTGAATGTAGTGGCACACACAAAGAGAAAGTAACAGATTAACTTAACATAAGCTC